AACAGAAACCTCCTCCATCTTCCGTGCTCCCCAAACCACTACCCTGTTTCCCCGAAAATAAGACAGTGTCTTATATTAATTTTTGCTCCCAAAGATACGCTAGGTCTTATTTTCAGGGGATGTCTTATTTTTCCATGAAGAAGAATACGATACACATTTATTGTTTATTGTTTTATTAAAAGAGACCTCGCACTTCCTGGCTGCTCTGTCTATGCTGCGGCCAACAGTGAGCTGCGCGTGGGCACTGGCTGCTACTGTCCAGAGTTCAGAGTTATGGTAGCTGGGGGTGCGGAGCTTATTTTCGGGGAGGTCTTATTTTGGGGGGATGCCTTATATTTCAGCAAGAGGCAAAATTGTAAGTAGGTGTTATTTTGGGGGGATGTCTTACTTTCGGGAAAACAGGGTATTTTTCCAGTTACTGAAACCTGGAACTTGGAAGTTCTCCCTAATTTTTTTTCCCTTTTCTGTCTCTACAAAACGCAATCTAGATCACATTTGTAGATTTTACTTACTAAATGGTTTTTAAATTTGACTGTACTTCCTTTCCTTAGCCCTATTAGCATTGACTCTGGTGCAAATCCTCAAGTTGATTATTGGATCCCGCCTGGTCCATTACAATAATGTAACCGGTTCTGTGCACATCTGCTGCATCATCTTTTAAAACACACCAGTAGTTTCCCATCACCTGTAGGAAAATGTGGACGCTCCTTAGCTCTGCAGTCCAGGCCTCTACTGACCCTCCATAGCCACCTGCTCCCAGCCATGATGTCCTCATACCAGGTGAGTTAGCACTGAATGCACTGAAGAGTTTGGGGTTCACTTAGACTATATAGACATTTAGGGAGTAAGCTGAAACAACCTGATTTCTATGTAACATTTAATGGATCCATTTAGCTATGTCTCATATCAAAAATTAATGTATAAATATTTTTTCATGCTCATACAGCATGATGTCAAATAAAACTTCCAAACATTATAAACACATAAAGATCAATGTCCAGGAGTTGAATCATCTCACCCTATTTATTCAATCTGTATGTTTTCAAATCATCAGAGAAGCTTGATTATATGAAGAAGAACATGAAATGTGGATTAACAGGATTACAGTATCAGGATAAAAGGGTTAACAGCCTGTAATATGCAGATGACACAACCTTTTTTGCTGAAAGTGAGGAGGAATTGAAGCCCTTGCTGAAGATGTTAAAGGACTGTAGCCTTCACCATGGATTATAACTTAATATAAAGAAAAGCAAAATCTTCACACGTTGACCGATAGGTGACATCATGATAAGTGGAGAAAAGTTTGAATTGTGAAGGATTTCTTCTTCCTTGGATCCACAATGAATGCTCATGGAAGCAGCAGTCAAGAAATCAAAAGATAAGCTGCATTAGATAAATTTGCTGCACAAGACCTCACTGAAGTGTTGAAAAGTATGGCTGTTACTTTGAGGACTGAGGTGGGCCTGAGCCAAGCAGCAGTATTTTCCAATGCCTCCTCCTATGGCTGTGAAAGTTGGACGTTGAATGAGGAAGACCACAGAAGGACCAGTGCACTTGAATGGCGGTGCAGGGAAGACTTTTGAAAGTGCCATGGATTGCCAAGAGAACAAGCTTAGAAGCAAGGATGGAACAACTTATCTCACCTCCTGTGGACGTGTTAGGAGAGACCTGTCCCTGGAAAAGAACGCATGCTTGGTAAAGCAGAGGAGCAGGGAAAAGAGGACGGCCCCTACAAATGGATGGGCACGTCTGACCCACCGTGGGCTCTGATTGTGTGGACGGGGCAAGTCTGGACTGTGTTGCACTCTGTTATACATAAGGTCACGATGAGTCAGGACTAGATCAAAGGCATGTCACAATAACATGTTTGTGGTTGGTTATCGCACCCCAAACTCACAGCTATTGAGTGACGCCACTCTGTAACACTGCTACAGGACAGAGTAACACTGCCTTTGTGGGTTTCTTAGACTAAATCTTTAAAGAAGTAGAAAACCTCATCTTTCTCCCTCAGACCAACTGGTGCTTTTGAACTGCTAACCTTGTAGTTAGCAGCCCAACTTGTAACCCAAGCTACCATGGCTCCTGTGTTCCACCCAAGCATCTATGAATTACAGAAACATCATAATTAGCAGTGCTTTTCTAGAAGTGCAGTGATGATGTGGAAGAAACAAGGACACCCAATGCCACTGCTTCTATTCAATATTGTACTGAGTATCGTGGCCTGGGCAATGGGATGCTGGGTGGCTGTTGTAACAAAACAGAATGCCTCTCCTAAGGTGGAGAAATAAGGAGACTAAGATAGGCAACTAGCATCCTCTATGTGGCCATGTCTTTCTTCACCTTTCCTTCCTGGCAAGCCACCATTCATTCTCTAAATCCCTTGGCAGCATGGCCTCCGCTCCACAGAATTCCCCTTTGTATTTCCTTCCGGTGCTACTTTTATAAGCAAGCGTCTTTCTGGTTTTGTAATCATTTGTTTGCCTATCTGTGGACTTAATACATCACGGGCCCAGAACGTTGCAGTGGCTAGGTGCCGGTTCTGGCTTCCTAGCAATCCTATGCAGAACTGAACCCGACACTACCTGCACCCGTGCCATTCTCACTATGGTTTCAGTTTCAGTCCGTTGTTAGGCCACCGTCAGTCAGTCTGGTGGAAGTTCTTCCTCTTTTTCAATGACCCTGCACTTTACCAAGCCTGATGACCTTCTCCAAGGACTGGTCTCTCCTGATAATACGTCCAAAGTACCTGAGACCCTGCAAAGCACTATCTAAAGGCCATTCTGGCTGTAATTCTTCCCAGTCAGCTTTGTTCATTCTCTGACAGTAGCGGGTATTCGGTAGTCTCCATCAACACCACAATTCAAAAGTATCACTACTTTCTCAGGCTACATTCGTCCTCGGCCAGCTTTCGCATGACCCAGAAGAGGGATGGGACCAAAACTAGCGAACAAGATTATTCTCTGAAGGCTTCCCTCTGCACTGGACATATACCTAAGGGATTCATACAAAAAGATAAATAATGCTGAAAAGCGAACAAGTCACTAAATAGTTTCCACCCACCCACATAGAAGCAGGGCCCAAGGATTACACGTGGGGACTGCTGTTCCCATGTCTTTCCAGCAGAAAGATCCCTCTCAGACCTGAGCAAACGTCTTCGTTCCTCTCACTTCAGGTACTGCCACAAACCACCTCCTTCCTCCCACATTCTTTAATCAATTGGAAACAGAGAGAGGGCACAGGGCACCAGCCAGTGGTGCCATCAGGGCTGTGTGCACTATACCAAGTGATGCTGTCAGAGGCGCGACACCGAAATGACTGGTGAGTTAGTTAATTGTGCCAGCCTGGCCGATAATCACATGTGGGGCTGGTTGAAAGGCGGAGGGATAAATGGGTGGTGAAGCCTCGCCTTTCTAGTTCTCGGGTCTCTTGTTTTGTGATGGTTGCATCGGGTGCAGCTGCCTTAGCAGTTCCCTGCTTCAGCTTGCAAGATGGATTTCCTACAAGACAAAGACATCCCCAAGGAGAAGCCGCATGGATCTATCCTGATGCAGCCCTGGGTGCTGGAGCAGCCATGTGGAGACCCCTGCCAGTGCTGAGATGCTTACACGTTCACTGACTCAGCTTTCCTCCTGCAGTCGGCATTATTGCCTCTGTTTTGTGAGGTGAAGGACTTTGTGGACTGGTGTTGGGTATGGGTTAATGTTGGACTTGTGGGCTTGGGCAGCATTGGGTTGGGATGTTTCCATGACGCACATTTTCTTTGCATAAAACTCTCTCTTATACGTGAGTTGCTGTGGATTTGTTTCTCCAAAGTACCTAGACTAATACAACTGGTTATCAATTGTGCCATGTGTCAGCAGAAATTTGTTATTCTTAATAAAAATATCACTGTAGTTAGTCATAGCAACAAACACATCTGTCCTAAGTTGCATGTATCAACATCAAGGCTAAAGTTTTATGCCAATGTGTTTTTTAACCTTTTAGTTGGTAGTATGGAGCCCTGGTGATATAGTGGGTTACACCTTGGGTTCGAAACCACCAGCAGCTCCTCGGGAGGAAGACTTTCTAGTCCCATAGAATTACAGTCTCGAAAATCCACAGGGGCACTTCTACTCCATCCTATAGGGTCGCTGTAAGACTTGAGTGGTTGGCAGTGAGGTTTGTTTTGTTTTTGTTTTTGAACTTTCCTTCTATCCAGTCACAAGGTGACTTCGAATCACGTTCCCATGCACAACAAGCACGTGTGGATTCTGGTGCTGTTTTGATGGTTGCTGCTTTGGTCAAAATTTTTGGTGTTTAACAACAATATTGTGTTAAGTATTATTTGTGAACTTGTATCACTACATTTGTTTTTGTTGTTGTTGTTGTTGTTGTTAGAATAAAGCAATAATTAAGGGAGAAGGCAGAGAACAATCAAAAGAGGTTTTCACCTAGTTACTAATAAAGCAATTCCATGTAGAAAGATTTCTCACAATGTTACTGTTAGTATGCAGGTGAAACTAAGAAATACACACTTAAGTAATTTCTAACTATCAAACCAAACCCAAGCCGACTGCCATGAGTTGATACCGACTCCTAGTGACCCTATATAGGGTTCAGAGACTGTAACGCATTACACAGCCTCATCCTTCTCCCGTGAAGCCTTTGATGGGTTTGAACCACCTACCTTACAAGGCCAGCAGTCCAGTGCTTATTCGATGAGAAGATGGATTCTATGCGGTCTAATGAGAGGAAGGCCCTGGGTGGGGTGGGGTGGGCGTGGACACCAACTCCAGGGACACCCCAGTCAGGATGCAGTCCTGCAGCTCCAGCGCCTGCCTCGCCGGGCCCCGTGTGCGCACGCGCGCCCTGTCCCCGCCCCGGGCCCGCCGCCCCGCCCCCGCGCGCGGACGCGCCGCTCCCCCCGCGCCACCTCCCGAGCGCCCATCGCCTCCCGCCCTCCAACCGGTCCCTCGGCGCCGCGGGGCGGGCTCGCAGCTCCAGGCCAGCAGGGCCGGGCCAGAGGGGCCGGCGTCGGGGCCGGGCTGCTGTCCCCGGTAGGGCCTGGCGCCGCCGAGCGCGGCCATGGAGGTGGAGGAGGCGTTCAAGGCCGTGGGGGAGATGGGCATCTATCAGATGTACTTGTGCTTCCTGCTGGCCGTGCTGCTGCAGGTGAGTCCCCCCTTCTCCCCGCGTAAGGCTGCACCTCCCGTAGCCCCCGCCGTCTCTCGGGGCGCCCGGCCGGGTGCCGAGGCTCTGCCAGCGCCGAGGTGTGGCCAGCCGGCCCCGCGCACACCCCGCGGGGAGGGTGCGGCGCCGAGCTGTGGTTTGGGCCGGCGCCGTGACCAGGTGGTCTGGGGACCGGCCCGGCTTTCTGCTGGCCCAGACCTCCCATCCTCTCCCCAGGGTCCGGTCGTGCGGGATCCAGCGCCCCCGAGGAGGAGGAAGGACGGTTTCCAGAGGGGGACGTCAGTGGATGAGCTGGTTAATGAGGGTGCAAAATTGCGTCCTTGGCTGTATTACACCACAAACACGGAAGGGGATCGTTGTGTCAGCCTTGGCGTGCTCTCACCTTGGAATCTAGAACAGGGGCAGCCCTAACGTCCCACGGACAAAAGGTGGCTCCAGCTTGGCCTCCTTCAGGTCTGAGAAGCCACTCACCCTCCTTTCCCCGAGGCGGGGGTGTTTCTTACCCCAGCAGCTCCCAGTGCATCAGAGTTATTTCTCACTCTCCTTGGTTTAACTCCCGCCTGGTCATTCCATCCTTGAGGTGATGAATCCAATCCTACCATCTGTGATAGGTGGTTTCAAAAGGAATGCTTTAAAATGAATTCTTCCATGGACAGACATTCGGATTTAAAGATAAAGAGTCTAGATTCATACTGCTGAAGGTCATGGCAGCGCATCTTTGGGATGCCTCTCCCTGGGTCAGGTTAAGTGGCCCATACACTTGACAACGCTTCCTTCTCCCCTTCTCCCCGGACTCTTGCTCATTTCATTCACAAATCCCTTTTAGCAGTTCCTTTCTGCTATAAGCTCCCCATAAGTCCCAGTAGACTCCACTGTGGGTGTGGGTGTGGGTGTGGGCGTGGACATGGGCTTGGGTTGGGGTTTAGGATTGGGGGCATGAGCCAGGCCTTTCCTCTTTCTTTAGTTGAGCTTATGTTGAATGAGTGCCTACTATGTGGTGGATTGCCATAGTGGACACATGGGATTCCTTGCCCTCGCGAGCTTTAGTCCAGTAGTGCTGCTAATGGGAAATGATAGTTACCCCGAGGGAAGTCCAGGGTGCGCATGGATATAACTGGCACTGCTTAAAACTTGCCTAAGTACAGTAAGTGCTGCAACAGGAAGATGGTGGTGGTGGGTGTTGACATAACGATTCTCTTCTTATTCACACGTTGGGCGTTTCAGTTGATTTCATTACCAGGAAGAATAGACGGCTGAGTCCCTTCTCTAGCAGAACAGGTTCTCAGCTCACAAATAGAAAGTCTTGTGAAGTTCATTGAAGCTTGTGGTTTTAGCTTTAACATCACTCTCTCTATGAGGAAGAGTCGGTGGGCTAAATAGCCAGAGTATCTTAACCACCTGGTATACAGTACCTACAATACAGAGGGTAACCATCATGCCTGAGCCTAATTTATAACCCGGAAAGAACTCTTCTCTCCTTCACTCCACGAATTCCAGGAACACAACCCCCTCTGAGCCTTCCCATCTCTTCTTCCCTACCTTCCATCCCCTATATTCTCATCTTCTCACCAGCCGAGCCAGCTGTACGCTGACTTGGAGTAAGTTTGTCTTGAGTGAAGTGTGGTGTTACAGTGGCATGTGCTCTGGGCTTAAGACCTGTTACGCTCGCCGCACCGCCTTTCCCTGCCAGTTGCCCCAGTTGTGTAAAGTTTGATGCCAGAGAGGCTCACGCCTTGCCCTTTCCCAAGACCAGTGACTGTTCACCCATCTCTGGCTGTTCTGTGGCCAGTATTTGTTCTAGAAGAGCCGGGTCTGAGAGTGTTAGGAATGAATGCCTGTTTATCTTGTAGGTGTGGGCTGGGGAGGTACCCTGTAACCTATATGTGTGGAGGAGACCTGTCCACACCTGAGTAAACCACTCACAGCTGCTGGCGACTTAGGAAGATCCACCCAGCCCATTGAGATACCTGATCCCAAGTGGTCCTCGGCTGCCCTGAGGTAGCTTGGATGTGAGAGTGGAGTTCTTCAAAGAACTTTGCCAACTCTGTTGTTGGAGGTGGCTTGGGCCAGTAGAGTTGGGCTGGTGAGTAGGAAAATTGGAAAGTTCCATTTATTGCATACTTATATCAAAGATACTTTCATGATTCTTCTTGTGGGTTGCTTCCCCCAACAGAAAAAAAAACACCAAGAAACCATTTTGAAGGGTAGAGTAATAGGCTAATGGAAGGGGCTCAACATTTTCTGTTTTTCAAACCAAAGCACTTGTCTACCATTGCCAAGAACTGTACAGATCAGTGAGCTGTTGTCCCAGGGCCTTCTTTGTCTGCCACGTTCAAAGGACAGCCTTAGCTGTGGGGCAGGGAACTACAGCAGCAGAGATGGACACTTTATAGAGCCTTTTGTATGTTCCTCCTTTTCCAACCATCGTGTTTTGCTTAAAATGCTTGTTTTTTCCCCGTTACTTCAAGCACATCCTGTTCAAACACAGAATAAAACTCTTCTATTTCAAATCCAGTTCCAGAGCCTCTCCCCTGCCATAAAGTCCATTCTGAAGCACAGGGACCCCCATCTAGGGTTTCTGAGGCAGTACATCTTTATGGAAGCAGACAGCCTCACATCTTTCTCCCAAGAAGCAGCTGGTGAGTTTGAACTGCTAACTTTTCGGTTTAGCAGCCCAAGTTGATCCCACAGCAAAGACCTTTAGGTTAACTATTTTCTTTAGCCATTGATTTCATCATGTAGCTCATTAGTGGAGAACGTCCATCCTGAGGGTTACATAGGGGCCCCCTTTTTAAAACACTTTATTGGAGGCTCGTATAATTCTTATCACAATCCATACATACATCCGTTGTTTCAAGCACATTTGTACATTTATTGCCATCATCATTCTCAAAACATTTGCCTTCTACTTGAGCCCATAATATCAGTTCCTCATTTCCTCCCTTCCCTCCCCACTGCCCCCTCTCTCATGAACCCTTCATAATTCATAAATTATTATTTGTCATATCTTACACTGTCCGACGCCTCCCCTCACCCACTTCTCTGTTGTCCAGGAGGTTATACATAGATCAGTTTCCCCTTTCCACTCCACATTCCCTCCACCCTCCAGGCATCGCCCCTCTCACTACTGGTCCTGAAGGGGTCATCTGTCCTGGATTCCCTGTGTTTTCAGTTCCTATCTGTACCAATGTACATCCTCTGGTCTAGCCAGATTTGTAAGGTAGAA